TGTTGGAGAGCATGGGTGAGATCTTCCACCCTGTCATGAAGCATGTCTTCCTGTGGCCTCTGCTGCTGTGAGCCTGAGCTGCCAAGGACCAGAAAAGCATAGGGATCCCTGAATTTATCTTAAAAAATACAGAATTTCTGCTATTTGATGTTCTCGATGCAAGTTGCTTCAGAATGCTGACTTTTCCTTTAGGTGGGAGATCTAAAAGCCAGACTTGCATCTCAAGAAGCCGAGTTACAACTGAGGAATGAAGATGCTGAAGCTCTGATCACAAAGATCAGGCTTCAGACAGAGAAAGTGAGCCAGGAAAAGGCCATCGCGGACTCCGAGGAGCGAAAGGTCGGGCTAATTCCACCATTTAGAGTGCTTAGCTATATTTAGCACAAAATAAACCTTTGTAGGTGAACAATTTTGAACAACTTCCTCTCCAGGGAGCAGAAAGTCTAAAGAATTATTATAGTTACACATGTAACAGCATTTCACACCATGATTACCACTTGACCTTTCTTTACATTATGCATTTTCCCAACCTTTTAGCTCTTTTAATGATATGAAAGAACAATAAATACTGAGCTCATTCAAGCATATAATGGATGTGGATCTTGAACATCAGGCCTATTTGTAATACAGTAAAGGTCAGGAAGTCACCTCTGAGGTTTCTAAAGGTTTTCGGTTTTTAGGCAAATTGAACAACTCAATTGTTAACAAAGCCCATTCCATCACTTTGCAAGATGGTTTTCAATTTTTGCATTTTAATAATACAAGTCAAGTTTATTAGTAAGTCTCAGGCTAAATTTGTTCTTTCCAATTCAGTTGATGCCCTGGCATTCTGTATTATGGTTTATTGTTGGAAACAATTACTTTTAAGATTATATAGTTTCTGCTTTCTTTGTACTCAGGTTTCTGGCCATTCTCAAAGAAATACAACTTGTTTTACCAAAATGTCAGCTACAGATGGAAGATATTTTTTAGATATCTTATTTCCCAAAGAAATAGCATAATAAACAGAGATAATTAATAAATATTTGTTTAAAAATTGAACGTGTATGTATAAGGTAAAAAAATTCTTATTTTAGACAAAAAATTATAATCGTGGTCCAGTTAATAAAAACAATTCTAAATGGCTAACACTCTCATGGCTATTGAATCAGTAGCCATTATACCATTATCCCTGTATTTTATGATATCAGAAAATATTTGAGATTTTCCAGTGGTGTTGCCATTCATTTATACACAACCTAATTATTTTTGTATCGAACGTGCTAATGTATAGATAATGTATAAAACATGCTAATGTGTATTAAGCCTATTTTCCTTTAGCTTGCACAACTAAAGACTTGAAAAGTATATTGAAAATCAAAACTCTAAACAGTTTTTAAAATATCAAGGTAATGGGCCGGCCCGGTGGCGCACTGCTACAGTGCGCCGCTTGGGAAGCGTGGCGGCGCTCC